AATTCATCAAGACACAAGCATATAGAAGGAGGCCAAGGAAGGAGATTATAGCGAAGAAAATAGGTTTTGTTGAGACATGGGTTACCTCTTAGCCTTAATTAATTTCCTTGGCTATGAAGGGTCTTTCTTTAAGATTCCTCCTTTCTTGATTTCTCCTAGGGGAATTCTTGGAACTTCTTGTGTGGTGAGAGATTATTGTGGTGTGGGTTCTAGGTGCCCCCCCTATGCCCCCTATTTATACACCTAAGAGTCCCAATTAGGGTCCAAATACTATGGGCTTGCTAATTCTATTCCTTATAGGACTAGGGGATTGGTTTTAGGGATAAGGGCCCATGGACTATGGTGGGCCTTTTCCTAATTAATTACTGGAATTTAATTCTTTCTTTTGGGTAAATGATTAAATGATTAATTGGTTTTAGGGGCCGTAACACGGGGTGTTACACCTCTAACATAACAAACAAGGCTAAACCCACCAAGTTACACCAACTCTTGTTTATTAATGCATTACACCTTATATTTTACCTATAATTTTGGGCTGAGAGCTTTGACCACCGTCATGACCGGCCGAAGACTTCCCGACGGCGTGTCCAGTCGGCCACCTCAGTCCATGGCGTGGGCGGGCAGGGTGGTGCGCTCCCGGGCACTTCAACCGCGCCCCTGGTCCTAAGGGGGTGCGACGCGGTGCGCTGTGGTGTTCAAAATGGTGCAATATGGTGTGAAGGGGTAAGGCCGGTATGATCATGGGCTGGTAATCGACCCTTCCGGCTAGTGCATGACTAACAAGGTTAGCTAAATGTTGATAATCGACCCTTCAGGCATGCATGAGACACATGGAGAATGGATATGAAAGAGTAGTTGATGTCGTACAGTTAGCTATAGCCCATTTCTTTGGCCGCGATCTTTGTAATTGGGCTGCCAGCTGTCTGGGTAATAAAACCCCCAGGTAATATAGGGAAAATTATGTTGTGCAATCGTGTGCACCATGCATGGTGCACACTGTTCTCTGTATTCACAAATCAACTATATGTTCATAATTTGATAACTATACAGTTTAGAAATTATGAATCAACAATAAAGAAATTATGAATCTACAGTCCAGATATTATGAATCTGCAGTGTAGAAATTATGAATCTACTGTATAAAAATTATGAATCTACTGTATTTATATTATGAATCTACGATTTAGAAATTATAAATCTACAATAAAGATTTTATGAATCTACAGTATAGAAATTATGAATCTATAGCATAGAAATTATGAATCTATAATATAGAAATTATGAACCTATAGTATAGAAATTCAGAATCTATAGTATAGAAATTATGAACTATTTTGGACCTAGCACCCCAGATAATAAAACTACTATTTTCTTACACCCCGTTCTATACATATATACCTGGTACACCCCGGGTAATAAAGCTACTATTTTCTTACCTCGCGTTTTGTACCTATATACCTGGTACTATTTTGGGTCTAGCGCATCGGGTAATAAAGCTAATATTTTCTTACCCCCTATCTATACCTATATACCCGGTTTATGGTGGACCGGGTTCCTATAAAACTATGAATATACTTATTTAATTTGGAAAAAAATGAAGGTTTATTATAAAATTAAAATAAAATTTCGTTATTTTCCTTATTACCGAGTATATTAGTACATAATATATATTATATAGTATATAGTATATGTTAATATGTTATGTTATTTCCCTCACAAAATAAAAATAATTCCATAATTCCTTCAATTCTTCCCCCCTTTACAAATTTTTACTTAGCGCCAATTTTTCTCTCTTTACAAATTTTCTCTTCAACCTCCTCGCTCACAAAGCCCTTGTCGCCGCTTCAGCCTCCATCCTTGTCACCGTCTTCAGCCCAACGACCACCCGATCTGCTGCAGCTTCGTCGTTTAGATCAGCAACCGCGACGACCAACGCCGCCTTCGTCGCCACCCCGGCCGATCTAAGGAATTTTCGTTCCCTCCACCGCCTTCCCTGCGATGCTGCGTTCCTCTGTACCAGACGACACACCGCTGGTGCCATCTCCTCCGCCCCCAATCTGCAAGTTCATTTTTTTTTACTGGTTTTGCAGGCGACGGGATTATTGTAGAGATAGAGGATAGACACAAATGTAGGTCTAGATCTCACTCCAAAGATAGATCTAAATATAGACCAAATTCAAGATCACCTTCTCACTCCAGAAGGTAAGCTCTGGTTTTTCGTCATATTACTCTTCTGCTTGTCCATTTACCTTGTTTATTTGGGTTTCCATTTTCATTTTCTTTAGTTATCTGTACAGACAAACATGCAATGTTCTTTGTTATATTAATATCTATATATATTGATGTGAACAAAGAAAATTGAATCAATTGAATAAAATATTTTAATATTCAAAATTCTGGTTACATTGAGTATCAATGTGGTGTGGGTACAAGTCTCTGGATGGTCCTCTGATTCTTCAATTGGATGCCTTGAACACTCCACCATTGAAGGGCCTCCGGGTTTCAAGTGACTTAATCTTCAAATAAGGGCTTGTATATAGCTTGTTCTTCATTGAAGGGCCTCCGGGTTCAAATGGCTTGATCTTCAATGGAGGTTTGGATCAACATGCATGATTGGATTGGAGGAGGGCCTTTTACTTTCAGGATCACATTTTTATTGTGATATCTGAATAAACTTGATGTTTCTATGAATTTTTCCTAGGATGTGTACATAGAAATAAGAGCTCTTATTTATAGCGGTCGGATAGAAGAGTTTTGATAAGCCCAAACTCTTTTGATATTATCTAATTAACAAATTAGATAATATCAATATTATCCAAAATATATCCAAATATATTCAAATATATTAATATTGATAAATAATCATATTTATCAAATTTTCAATGTCAACAAATTCCCCCTCGAGACTTGCTTGTACACCACTTGAGAGCATATACCACTCCAAAGTATGTAGTACAAGGAAATCTCTGTAAAGGAGTAGTGTATATCATTAATTATATTTAGTTTTGTGGTTAGACTTTGTCTGGTTTGTTAGTATTAATCTACTGGTTAATAGCATAGGAGTAGGCTTTGCTGTTATGTGCAGGCTATTTAAGCTTCCTTCATGGTTCATAATAAAGTGTAACACCCCCGATTTTCAAGACATTTAAAACTTATAATAAAGGTAGAATCTTATTAAATCCCAAGATATAAATACAAGCGTTCGGGGTGCTATGCCACACCTGGGCTAGAGAACCCAAGTGCACAGGCTAACTAACTAATATCCTCCCAGCGTAAATACGTAAACGTGGCACGCAGGCCAAAAGGGAAACTATCTACTTCTAAGTTCTAGCGCACTCCAGTGACTTAATCTTCTGTGCCTGAAAGCCAAATATATCTGTTCAGCGAGAGATGCTGGTAACCCACTCCAACGCGTTGAAATACAATACATATAGAGATATATATAGATATACGAAAACCATTTTGAGCATGAAGATATATCCTACGAACGCTAGCTTTAAAACCGGGAATGACTCGACAGATAAGGCTAGACACAAGCACAGTTATAACGAGCATATGCAGTTCACAACAGATAAGGCAAAGCATAAACAATGATCATAACACAACATGAACAATCCCCAATATAAATCCCATAGTCACATCCCCCAAGACACTCGTAATCACAACTCGTCCAGGTCACAACACATAACACACTTTGTTGGCGCCACAAGACCAATCGCATGCCCATACATGAGGGTCAGCGCATATAGCTCTGACACGGCCCCGCAGCACCCTGCCCCGTATCGCAACACGGAGGGGTCGATCGCAACCGACCGATGAACCGCAGCTCATCATAGTGTTTGATTGCAACCAAACAGTGGACCGCAGCCCAAGAGAATGTCATCTGACTGCAGCCAGGAAAAAGGACGAACCGCAGCTCGTATAGAAACGTTTGATCGCAACCAAACGGTGGACCGCAGCCCAAGTGTATCAATCTGACCGCAGCCAGCTTCTGAACCGCAGCTCAGGATAACCAATCCGATCGCAACCGAATTGGGGTAACACACACATAACACATAGCAAGCACATGCAACCCACATTACACATTAGGAAGGGGGAGAAAACGTATAACAAAACCTATGCGTGATCCATCACTTACTAAGAATGGTCCTAAGGGGTTCATACTTCTTCCACCTAGGTCAACGGGATACCAATTCAACTAGCATGCAATATAATAGACTCATAAACCTACGAACGGTACCCGAAACATCAAACTAGACATAGGCACGATAAACGGAGTCCGTTGGGACACCACGGGGAACGGGGAACATCAAACGGGGAAGCCGGGATCCCAAGTTGGGGAAATTTCCAGCGGGTAGCCGGTGGGTGGGGGGGCCACCCGCCGGTTTTACTGTTCCGGGCAGCGGGTCGCCGGCGGGCAGCTGCCCGCCCGCCGGCCACCCGCTGCGAGGCGGTGATTCTCGGCACCGGGTAGGTGGCGGGTCCCCTACCCCCCCACCTACCCCTCACTGACTCTTTTTCATCAATTGCGCCCCGGGAACCGTTGTGGAACCCGAAACCATGCTTAGACACTTTACAACGCAATTAACGACAACACGTAGACAATTAACGGATCAATTATGAGAAACGAACGACACATAACCTATCATGCTTTTCTAAATATAATCAACACCCAAACATGCGATTTCCCCACCCAATAAACCAAGAATAATATCATACGATACAACCTATGGTTCTAATCACTTTTATATCAACAAGAATACGGTTCGTCTTCTAATTGCAAGATTCGGTAAGAATAACACATAAACATCAAGAGCATCATATAATTTTCAAGAACAACACATAATCATCAAGAACTCCATATAATTACCAAGAACACCATAATTATCAAGAATCTCCCAATATCAAGATTATCAAGGTTCCTCATGGAATCATTATATCAATCATTAATAATAATCATCACCAATCATTAATACACAATAATATGGGGAAACCCTAAGGGGAATCATAACTATGAAAATAGGTTTTGTTGAGACATGGGTTACCTCTTTGCCTTAATTAATTCCTTGGCTACGAAGGATCTTTCTTTAAGCTTCCTTGCTTTCTTGATTTCTCCTAAGGGGATTCTTGGAGCTCTTTTGGGGTGGTGGGGCGTTATTCTTGTGGGAGGTTCTAGGTGCCTCTTAAGTCCCCTATTTATATATTCAGGAGTCCTAATTAGGAACTAATATTATAGGCTTGCTAATTCTATTCCTTTTGGGACTAAGGATTGGGTTCCATGGTCCATAATGGACCATATTAATTAATTAAAGAGAATCCTAATCATAATCTGAATAGTAAAAGACCTACTTCCTTTATTCCTAATAGATAACTAGGTCTAGGATTCCTAATCAGAATCTGAATAGTAAAAGGTTTACTTTCTTTATTCCTAATAGGCTTAAGGCTCTAATTTAGGCAAGGGCCCACGGTTCATGGTGGGCCTTATTAATTAATTAAAGGAAAACCTAACCGAATTAAATCATATTTAATTATTATTAACGGGATTAATTAAATAATTAATCCGGGATTGAAGGCCGTAACACGGGGTGTTACACTCTCCCCCCCTTACGAGAAGCTTCGTCCCCGAAGCTTGGAAATCATTGCAGGGTTAACGAGTCAAGAGAAGAACCGCGGTCCTATAGAGAAGGTATTCCACGGGGAAATTGTATACTTGCACGCCTATGTGTGTTGGGTTTTTGGGAACGATTAGGTTTACAGGGCTAAGAGAGTGGGTTTCAAACTTGAGGACACGGTGAATTCAGGAATTAGGATCGAGTTTTCGAGGTTGCAACTTAGGTTGTGAGGTTGCCACTTGTATGGAATCGTTAAAACATGGGATTGAGAATGGGGTCTGAAGGGTAGAAAGGGTTTTGAAATAAGGAAGGGGCCGATTTTCCGAGGGAGGGAAAGGAATTCGGCTAGGATGGGTTAAGGTTTCTCGATCCCAAGTGAATAATCTGGTTAGATGCTTTGATCACGATGCGTCGACGAGCTGATGATCCTCCTTCCTTGGTGTTGGTGCTTGCTTGACTTTAAGGTCCTCGTTAGACCTTGCTTCCCAGGCTAAGGTTTCATCCTTCTCTTCTTTCTTGAGGGAATTTCCCGTGGTGATTCAACACTTACTTCTTTAATGCGCCCAAGGTCTTGACCGAGTTGGGTCAACCAAGCCAATCTCTTAGGGCGCACTTCCCAAATTCTTCCCAAAGTCTCTTGGGAGTTGATGGACTTTGGGTTGAATTTCTCTTCTTATTGAATTTCATCTCCTCTTTAGTGGATGAAATTCTTAGTAAGACTTCATGTCTTACCCGAGGTTCGGCATTGTTGTGCCCTGTTTGTGTTATTTTTAATGATGAAGGTGTCCTTGCGTGCCCTTTTTCTTTTAAAGCGCAGTTGGTTACCAAATTTCGTTGTGGGATGACTCGGCGACTTTACGAGTCACCTCATTTCCTTGTGGGTCCTTAATGACCCTTGAAGTCTTGGCGCGAATGTGTTCTTCACCCTTTTGCTTAGCACCATGGGCTACGTAGTTCTTGATTCCATACAACTTGTAAGGAGTCCTCTAATTTGCTCGAACGATGTCCATGGTTTGGAGGAGTCCCGGTCCCTCCTTAGCATTTTGATTTTTAAGGTTTTCGTGGGTTCTTAGTACGAGTTCCCAACTCGCCTCCTTGGTTTGCGCAATCCTTTACGCCAAACATCCCTAGTCGGTTGTATCGTAGGATCCGATTTCAATTACTCGTGCAATGTAATTGATTGTGATTTCTCGATGGTGTCTCGTGCGTCAAGGTCTTTTACGTAGGACACTATGTTTGGGTGGTCCATGGTTCCTTACCCAAGACTCACATTCCTCAATCGAGGAACACAAGTGCGCCACAAATCAATAAAATGAGGGGTTAAGAAATCAGCACATTGTACCAGTGGGCACGAGGTGGGCGGTCGTCCGCCTGCCAAGCTCCTGCCAAGGACCCGCCAAGGTCCCGTCAAGGACCCGTTGGGGACCCGCGGGAAAGTGACTAGGAATAGTCAATTCCTTCGGGAAAGACCCCAAAAATGCACAGATTCATGTCCTGACAAGTCCCATGCCCTTGTGCACAATAAAAGGGACTTGGATACATAGGATGACCCATCGTACAATGTTCATTGATCCTTAAGCACGAGTTCTAGAGGTAGATATACATACATATATATATATATATATATCTATGTTTTCTTGGTCTGGGTTTAAAGGGGTGTAAGAAGTGCAAGGGCTAGGTTTCAAAGTCGAGGGGCGGATAGGGTCGATGTCTCAAGGTCGTAATACAGGAAGGAAGGTTGCCACCTTGTACGTGTTTGTCTGTAATGAGGGATCAAGAGCGAGGTTTGGAGTGATAGGACGGATTCTTTAACGAAATGGTACTTGATTGGCAAGGGGAGGGAAAGGGGCTAAGGACCCTTGGCTTCGAGTGATTATGCCTGTTTGGGGCTTGGTTGTGGCGTGCAGTCGAACTGGTGATCCCTTTTCCTTGGCTTTGTTTGATTCTAAGATTTTCGTTTGATCTTCTCTTCCCATGTCGAAGTCCCCTTCGTCTCTATGGCTTCCAGGGGAATTCTCGTGATGGTTTCCGTGCACGTTCCCCTCGGATGTCCAGAAGTCTGGACCCAGTCGGTTTAGTGGGTCAAACCCCTAGGTCTTGACTCCTAATCCTTGCCGAGGGTTCTTAAGGGTAAGGGGGGTTTCGGGTTAGTCTTTCTTGTTCTATTGGGTTTCATCCCTTCCTTGGTGGATGAAATTCTTAGCAAGGCTTTATGTCCTCCTTGAGGTTCGGCCTGTTGCACCTATTTGACGATGTTTTCTGTAGCGAGAGCCCCTGACACATTGAACGTATCTGTTTGCCCGCTCTTGTCAACGCATGGCGTTCTTCGGTGGCGTACGTACAGGCTATGGTTTCTCGTGAAACCTTCACGGTTTTCGTGCAAGGGTGGGGTGATACGTATTCGTAACCTCCACCTACTTCGCCGATTCCTATCTAACAACTTATTTTAATATTGAATCAACGAATGTCGGTTCTTCACGCCCCTGGGCAGGGTAAGGGCCTTATGCTGCTCTACGGTTTTTAACAGGGTTTCCAAACGGAGTGGGGATATGAACTTAGAGTAAGGGCAATAACAATTTAGGGTTTCCGAGGGTTTGGGTTAAGCGCAACAAAGGGTGAGCAAGGTCATGACGATTGCGAATTTGCTCTTAAGGTAATTAAGGATTCGGGGTGGGAGTTTTCAACAAATAGGGGTATCAAGATGCTGGGGTTTTAGGGCGGATGATATTTTAAATTGGGGTGGTGGGGTCGCAAGGTGTTGCGATATACTTACCTTGCACCCAAGGATTCGACTAATGGTGTCATTCCTTTGCTACTTTAATAGGTGTCCTAGTTCTCCTTCCTGTTTGTTGTAGCCGCAACCCGGGTTTGCCGAGATAAGGCAACTTGTCAGAAGGTGCATGTCATTTGTCTGACTCGGGGGTTATCGTGGTTACCCTGGGTTGGTGCGTATTGCAGTCCGTACCTTTTAGCAGTCCTGACTGTAACGCCTTTTTTTAGTAGTCATCCAAATCTTCATTTTCTTTGGTCAGGGTCCTTGTCAAGTCTTTTGACGGGAGTTAGGACGAGGCGATTTATCGGGTAAGTGTACGTTACCCAGTTGTTGAAGTAAACTTATCTATTCGCACCCTTACCTGGTGTGGTAAGCGTAGGGGGAGGTTCCTTTAAGTTAGAGGGGGATGAAGTGAGGGGAGGTTATGTGTAGGTTTCACAATCTTACTGCGCGTCCTAAGATTCCTGGATCCTATGTTCCTAAGTACCTAGAGTTCAAGCCTAGTGTCCTAAAGTCCGGTCTTAAGAGTCTTATCCTAGGATCAAACTTAAGCTCTGATACCAACTGTAACACCCCAGATTTTCAAGACATTTAAAACTTATAATAAAGGTAGAATCTTATTAAATCCCAAGATATAAATACAAGCGTTCGGGGTGCTATGCCACACCTGGGCTAGAGAACCCAAGTGCACAGGCTAACTAACTAATATCCTCCAAGCGTAAATACGTAAACGTGGCACGCAGGCTAAAAGGGAAACTATCTACTTCTAAGTTCTAGCGCACTCCAGTGACTTAATCTTCTGTTCCTGAAAGCCAAATATATCTGTTCAGCGAGAAATGCTGGTAACCCACTCCAACGCGTTGAAATACAATACATATAGAGATATATATTGATATACGAAAACCATTTTGAGCATGAAGATATATCCTACGAACGCTAGCTTTAAAACCGGGAATGACTCGACAGATAAGGCTAGACACAAGCACAGTTATAATGAGCATATGCAGTTCACAACAGATGAGGCAGATAAGGCAAAGCATAAACAATGATCATAACACAACATGAACAATCCCCAATATAAATCCCATAGTCACATCCCCCAAGACACTCGTAATCACAACTCGTCCAGGTCACAACACATAACACACTTTGTTGGCGCCACAGGACCAATCGCATGCCCATACATGAGGGTCAGCGCATATAGCTCTGACACGGCCCCGCAGCACCCTGCCCCGTATCGCAACACGGAGGGGTCGATCGCAACCGACCGATGAACCGCAGCTCATCATAGTGTTTGATTGCAACCAAACAGTGGACCGCAGCCCAAGAGAATGTCATCTGACTGCAGCCAGGAAAAAGGACGAACCGCAGCTCGTATAGAAACGTTTGATCGCAACCAAACGGTGGACCGCAGCCCAAGAGTATCAATCTGACCGCAGCCAGCTTCTGAACCGCAGCTCAGGATAACCAATCCGATCGCAACCGAATTGGGGTAACACACACATAACACATAGCAAGCACATGCAACCCACATTACACATTAGGAAGGGGGAGAAAACGTATAACAAAACCTATGCGTGATCCATCACTTACTAAGAATGGTCCTAAGGGGTTCATACTTCTTCCA